CGCACGTGACCGGCGGTCCCGGCAGCCCCAGGGGCCATGGGGGTGCTCAGGGCCGGACTGTGCCCGGGCCTCACGGAGGAGATGGTCCAGCTGCTGAGGAGCGTTGGGGTCAAGACAGGTGACACAGCCTGGCCCCCCCCCCCCTCATCCGGGGCCCAGCGGCGCCCTGGCCGGACGCCTTCCCTCCCCTGCCAGCCCTGGAGCGGCTGGGGGAGGCTGGGAGCGAGCAGGAGCCCAGCGATGGGGGAGGGCAGGCCCACAGGAGGAGGCCCGACTGTGTGCGGGGCGTCCCGAACCTGCTGGCTCCAGGTAGAATGGACACCCTAGTTCAGAAAAGGCAAACCCAGGCGCGGGAAGCCCAGGCCGTGCCACCTGCCTGCTGGTCAGCTTGTACGTGTGTTTTGTTCTCAGTGATGGACCTGGCTGCTGCAGACCTAGAGGAGGTGGCCCAGAAGTGTAGCCTGTCTTACAAGGTGAGCTCCTGGTCCATGATCCAGATTGGCGTTCCCCTTCCCCTCAAGTCCTGTCCCTGACCCTCTGGGAGTCGAGAGTTCCCTGAGGTCGGTCAAGGAGAGCCACCTGAGACCCAGGATGGCCTGGTGGGCAGGGGAAACGGTGGACATCTGAGCTTGAGTGCCTACCCCTTTGGCAGGCCCTGGTCGCCCTGAGGAGGGTGCTTCTGGCCCAGTTCTCAGCTTTCCCCTTGAATGGTGCTGACCTCTATGAGGAACTGAAGACCTCCACTGCCATCCTGTCCACTGGCATTGAAAGGTTAGACCGTATGTGTTTGGGGCATGAGAAAGACTTTCTGTGCTTGAGTCTACTGAACATGATGTGAGCAGGGTAGCATAGACCGATGGGAAGGAGAACCTTGGGACTTCTGAGCTGTCTTACCTTATAACAGTAACACCCTGGGTAGGGGTGCACAGCCTCTGCACTCTTGGTACTTTGGGAGGAGTAATTGTGGAGGTGGCGTTGCTCTGTCCATCTAGCCACACATTAGGTATCAGAATCACCTCCCCTACTCCCAACTGAGAAAATACTACTACTACTATTACTACTACTACTACTACTGTCCTCTAACTCAAGCCAGGCACTGGAGGCTCACATGTATAATTCAGGGGGTTGAGATCTAAGGATCATGGTTCAAAGCCAGTCCCGGCAGGAAAAGTCTGTGAGACTCTTTTTTTTTTTTTTTTTTTGCCGTCATGAGGCCTGAACTCAGGGCCTGGGCGCTGTCCCTCAGCTCTTCAGCTCAAGGTTAGCACTCTACACTTGAGCCACAGTGCCACTTCTGACTTTTTCTGCTTATGTGGTGCTGAGGAATCGAACTCAGGGCCTCATGCATGCAAGGCAAGCACTCTACCACTGAGCCACCTTCCCAGCCCCATCTGTGAGACTCTTATCTCCAATTAACCACCAAAAAATCTGGAATTGGAGGTGTGGTTCAAGTGAAAAAGGTAAAGGACAGCACCCTACCCTGAGTTCAAATACCAGTACACACACACACACACACACACACACTCTCTCTCTCTCTCTCTCTCTCTGTCCCCTAACACCAGATGTCAGTAGTATTTCAGCCTTCCATAACGCTTCAGGATAGAGTAAGCAAGAATAGGGCAGGGGTTTCCTGACTGTGGGTTATGTGTAGTCTCTCCTCAGCCACTGCTCATTCGAGCTTGTTAGGCTCCCTTGCATTTAGCCCTAGAAGAGTAAGTGGCAGAGGTGTGGCTTGCACCCTAGCCATGTGAACCCAGAACCTGGTGCCGTCATTATATTTGTGTACCAGCAGGCTTCCTGAATGGAGCTCTTAAATTATACCACGTTGTTTGGGATGGAAAGAGCTGGAAGACAACTGGTGTTTTCTAGCCAAGTGAGTCTGACCTTTCTCCTGGCCTGTTTGTGCAAAGTATGATGAATATTGCTGCCATCACAGAGGTCTTTGGATCTGTGTTGCCTTGGCTGCTTCTCTAACACATTCTCTTGGAGAGGTTCACACAGCATAGTGCTTGCTTTCACTGGTTGGGAGCCTTGAGTTTCTAATACTGGGATCTCAGTGTGAGCCCCTAGCTTTGTCCAGCAAACCTTAGAGTGCCTACTGGGTGTCAAATGAGCGGATAGTATGTCCTCCAGTGAGGCAAGGCCCTTGCCCTTAGTATGACATTTCATGGGCCTATGAGATAGCAAGTAAATAGGGGAGATGTGTAGGCACTCAGGAAGGCTGCACCAAGAGGAAGGAATTAACAGGAAGCAGTTAGCTTTGGGGTTTGGGAAGAAAGGGAATGGACCTTGCAGCTGTGGGTCACTGCAGGGAGATCACACGCTGGAAAGACCTAAAAGTTGTGGTCTTGACATTGAGGGACCTGTGGACTTTTATGTGGTGCTTGCCAGGAATCAGGCTCTGTGCTAGTGCTTCTTAGTATGTGATTTTCTTTGTTCTTCCTGACCCCCTAAGGAGTAAAACACATTGCTGTTGGAACTCAGGGTAAGTGACTTGCTCAAGACATTGCAACTAGTAAATAAAGACCAGACACTTGAGGTCAGGGCCAAGAACTGAACTCTTTTAGTTTTTTTTTTTTTTTTTGGCCAGTCCTGGGGCTTGAACTCAGGGCCTGAGCACTGTCCCTGAGCTTCTTTTGTTCAAGGCTAGCACTCTACCACTTGAGCCACAGTGCCACTTACAGCTTTTTCTGTTTACGTAGCACTGAGGAATTGAATCATGCATGCTTGGCAAGCACTCTACCACTAAGCCACAATCACAGCCCAAGAACTGAACTCTTAACTTTGACTTGCCAACCCTGCTTCCTCTTTCAAGGTAGGATGCTATCAAGAAAGTAGCATTTAGGGCAGTGGGGTGAAAGAGTGCAGGACAGATGGGAAGAGAAAGGGCAAGGTGGAGCTGGTGTGGGTCTAAACTAGGGCAAGTGGGAGTGGGAAAGGTTGAAGAAGAAACGTGACAAGAGCTGGGTGCTGATGGCTCATGTCTGTAATCCTAGCTACTCAGGAGGCTGAGATATGAGAATTGAGGTTCGAAGCCAACTCAGGGAAGGGAAATCTATGAGACTCTTATCTCCACTAAACTACCAGAAAAGCCAGACATGGAGCTGGGGCTTACGTGCTAGAATGCTAACCTTGAACAAAACAGCTAAGAAAAAATACCTTGGCTCTCAGTTCAATTCCTAGTATGAGCACCAAAAAAAAAGGGGGGGGGGGGGAAAGAGAAGGAAGGGGGGAGGAGGAGAAAAGGAGAGAGGGAGGGAAGAAGAGGGGGAGAAGAAAGAAGGAGAAGGAAAAGGAGAAGTGAAAACTGTTCTATTACTCATTTCTTTAGCAAATGTCTCCTGGGTTTTAGGCCTGGTGCTAGTACTAGAGATGTATCAGAGATGCGGCCTGGTCCTTGCCCCAGGGTGCTTTAATTAGATGAGGGAGACAGACAAAAAACAAGCAAATAAAAAAAAATAATTACAAACTCCCAGAACTAATAAGAGAGTTCAGCAAAATTGCAGGATACCAGATTAACACATAAAAATCAATTGCATTTCCATGTGCTCTCAGCAAATACATGGACACTGAGATGAAAAGCACAAAGCCTTTTACAGTTGCTCCAAAGCAAATAAATACTTAGGTGTGTCTGACAAAGCACATACATGTAGGGATTGTATGCTGAAAGCAAACCAGCGCTGATAGACAAGGTAAAAAGGGTTCAGAGGGGCTAGGAATGTGGCTTAGTGGTAGAGTGCTTGCCTAGCATGCATGGAGCCCTGGGTTTGATTCCTCTGTACCACATAAACAGAAAAAAGAAGTGGCACTGTGGCTCAAGTGGTAGAGTGTTAGCCTTGAGCACAGAGAGGCTCAGGGACAGTGCCCAGGCCCTCAGCTACTGAGTTGCCCCAGGACTGGCAAAAAAAAGGACCAAGATGCAGAGGCATACTGTGAATTGGAAAGTCTACCTAGCAAGTGTCCATTCCTCCCCAGTGATCCATAGGTTTAATGCAATTTCTACCACAGACCTGGCAAGAGTTTTATAGATACTTTGATAGCTCTATAAAAACACTAGTACCTAGAATGTTGAACATGATTTTGCAGAAGGATAAAGTTGGATGGATCAACTCTACCAAACATTAAGGCATACTGTACAGCTATAATAATCAGATGAATATGAGTGAGAAATATACCTCTGAAGTAGGTTCACAGCTGATGTGTTGTTGTTGTTTTGAACTCAGGACCTGTGTTTGCTAGTCAAGCACTCAACTGTTTGAACCCTGACCCCGGTCCTTTTTTTCTTTAGTTTGTTTTTAATATGGTCTTATACTTTTGCCTAGATGAGCCTTGGGCCTTAATTCTCTTATCTCTGCCTCTCGAATAGCTAGGATTGTAGGTGTGACTGCCACACCAGGCTTATTTTTTGGTGGAATTCATTCACATTTTTCCTGAGCTGGCCTCTAATGACAATCTTCCTATTTTTGTATCTGGGGTTTCAGGTATGTGCCACCAGGCAAGTCCTTGTACAGCTGAGTTTTGACAAAGTTACAAGAAGCTAGGGAGACGGGACTGGGGGTTTAGCCCAGCAGAAGGGCGCCCGCCTGGTGCGCGCAAGGCCCTGGGTTCGGTTCTCAGCCCTGGGGGAAAAAAAAATATAAAGCTACAAGAAGCTAGGGAGAAAAATAGTTGTTTTTTTTTTTGAGCAAATAGTGGACAGGACATGTACAAATATTAAACCTAGCTGGGCTCTGGTGGCTCACGCCTGTAATCCTAGCTACTCAGGAGGCTGATTTCTGAGGATCCTGGTTTGAAGCCAGTCTGGGCAGGAAAGTCCATGAGACTTGAATTACTAAAACTCCAGAAGTGGAGCTGTGGCTCAAATGGTAGAGCACCAGCGTGGAGCAGAAAAGCTAAGAGACAGCACCCAGGCTGAGTTCAAGCCCTTTACCAGCGTGTGTGCACTCTCTCTCTCTCTCTCTTTCGCTCTCTCTCTCTCTCTCTCTCTCACACACACACACACACACATCAGTAAATAAATAACAAGTTATGGGCTGGGAATGTGACTTAGTGGTAGAGTGCTCACCTTGCATGCATGAAGCTCTAGGTTCAATTCCTCAACACCACATAAACAGTAAAAGCTGTAAGTGGCACTGTGGCTTAAGGGATAGAGTGCTAGCCTTGAGCAAAAGAAGATCAGGGACACTATACCGGCCCTGAGTTCAAGCCCTAGGACTGGCAAAAACAAAAAACAAAACACAAGTTTTGGGAAATACTAGTAAGTAAACCCATCAGGGCCTTGTATATGCTCAGTAAGCACTCTACACTGAGCTCCACCCCCAGCCCAGCTCAGGAAGGCCTTGAATTTGCACACCTCCTCCCTCGGCTTCCCCAGTGCTGGGATTATTGATTTCAGTATATACTGTGATGTGCTTTCCTTCTCTCTTCCTCCCCAATGCCCGGGTTGATGGTCTTTCTGCTTCTGCCATCAGTCTGGACAAGCTGCTTGATGCTGGTCTCTATACTGGAGAAGTGACTGAAGTTGTAGGAGGCCCGGGTAGTGGCAAAACCCAGGTATGGGAGGGTAGCCCCAGGAGGATTGGGAGAGGTGGGTGTATAACACTCCATCCCCCAAGGGGCTCCTGTGTACCATGGGTTCACTGGTCAACAGAGATGAGCTGGGTGATACGAAGTGTCACTGGAAGCTGGGCAGGATATGGTCGCAGCTCCTATGGGACCCCCACCTCTGGGATCAGGCTCACTTAGTACCCTGCTCTCTTTCTAGCTCTGTCTTTGTGTGGCTACAAATGTGGCCCACAGCCTGAAGCAGAGTGTCCTGTACATTGATTCCAGTGGAGGACTGACAGCCTCTCGCCTCCTCCAGCTACTGCAGGCTAGAACCCAGGACGAGGAAGAACAGGTAAGAGGTGGGACAACTGGATTCCCTTAAGAAGCGGACACTACAGGCAGGACCCTGACATTCCTCACTGTGAGAATCTGGGCCATCTGAGTGGGTTCTTGCTTTGAAACTGCAGTTCTGCTGATGGTCCTGCATCCCTTGCAACTCCGCCCCCCCCCCCCCAAGCCAGCATCCTCCCAAATCCTCTCTGTATCCTCTTCAGTATCCACCCCAGGATCCCTGTTGCATCCTCCCAGATCCCCTCTGTAACCCCCCTGCATTCCTCCCTGTATCCCCCCTGCGTCCTGCCCAGCTAGTCTGTCATCACCCACATGGCCCTCCCAGGACTTACTGATCAATTCTATTTCTCTTTCTCACTGAGTTTCAAGTATCGTGTGTGTGTGTGTGTGTGTGTGTGTGTGTGTGTGTGTGTGTGTGTGTGTGTGTGTGTGTGTGTGTGTGTTCGTGCGCGCTCCAATACTGAGGCTTGAACTCAGGGCCCTTGAGTGCTTCCTTAGCTTTTTTCACTCAAGGTTGGCACTTACCACTTGAGCTATATCTCCACTTCTGGCTTTTTGATGGTTAATTATAGATAAGAGATCATGGACTTTTTTGTGTATGTTGGTTTTGGGGCATGGGCACTGTCCCTGAGCTGTTATTTGTTTCTGCTTGTTTTTTTTTAGCTCAAGTCTAGTACTCTTACCACTTTGAGCCATAGCTCTGCTACTGTTTTTTTGTTTTGTTTTTTTTTTTTTAGGTGGAGATAAGAGTCTCACAGACCTCCCTGCACAGACTGGCTTTGAACTGTGATCCCTCAGCTCTCAGCCATGATCTTCAGATCTCAGACTCCTGAGTAGCTGGGATTACAGTGCTTGATTCTCTTGGACTTTTCTGCTCAGATTGACTTAGATCTCAGCCTCTTGAGTAGCAAGGATTAAGGTTTGAGCCACTGGTGCCCAGCTGAATTTCAAATTCAGTATCTTACAGTTCAGTAGCCAGGCAGCCATGGCTGAGATCCAGCCCAGAGACAAAGCCCATTTGCATTGCATTCAAGTGTCTCTTTCCATCCTCAGCCTTGCAGTTTCTCTTCATTGCTTCTTTAACCACCTTCTGTTTCCCTCTGTAACCTCCAGGCAGCAGCTCTCCAGAGGATCCAGGTGGCTCATGCATTTGACATCTTCCAGGTGCTAGATGTCCTACAAGACCTGCGGGGTACAGTGGCCCAGCAGGTAAGCCTGCTGTCTGTCCCTCCTTGCTTTGCCTACCTGGCCAGGTACTGTCAATCTGTGGGCATATGGACTATGATGTATGTTATTGGCAAATGCAGATGTGCATTGTGGTGACTCCAGCTGTGCTTGCCACTTCCAAGGTAGAATTCCTGAGTGCCCCATTTTGCTCATCACTATTTACATGTCTACCATTCCCACTAAACATGGAGCTCATTAAGTATAAGAATCGTGTTGTATTGTATCCACCTTTGCATTCCTTCCTAAAATGAATTAGGAGTACTTTCAGCTGCATGTAATAGAGTTTGTCTGACAGAGACTTGAACCTTAAGAATAGGACTCATGAGACTGGCAAGTGCGCAATATTAGGGCACTAGGTTGTGAGTCTTGTTTCTTGTTCTTTTTCTCATGATTGCAAAGTGGCTGCTGTAGCTCCAAGCATCTTGCCTTCATACGTGCACATATTCTCCATATTTAGGTCATTGAGAGACAGATCATTCTTTTCAGTACTTCTTCCTTTTTATTAGGGAAGAAAAACTCTCCCCTGCTTATAACTAGTTGGAAAAGATTTGGAAAAATCCATGAGATTCCATCTTCAAAATAACCATCAGGACACTAGGCTAGAGGCATGGCTCAAGTGGTAGAGTGTCAGCCAGCAAGCAAGCTGAGCAATCATGAGACCTTGAGTTCAAACTTCAGTATTGGGGGGAAAAAAGGAGAGGTGGGGACTAGAGGTGTTGCTCAGCAGTAGAGAACTTGCTTAGTAAGTACAAGGACCTAAGTTCAAATCCCAGTACAACCCCACCCCCTAAAAAAATGGTGCTTGGAGTAGAATTCTTGGCCTATGTATTTTAGGCAAGTACTTTATCACCACTCCTTCCTTCCTTCCTTTCTATTTATTTATTCTGTCTGTCTATCTTAGACCAGGAGCTGGGCCTTCATTCTCTATAGTCAGGCAATTTCTGTCCAGTACCTGAATATATTCAGAATCATTTTGACAATGAAAAGGTAAGAGAGTTGAACAGCATTTGGGTTGGTACTGAGCCACCCTGCTAGGTTCTTAAGACAGGGTTTGGTGCATCATTTATAGACTGGAAATTTGAAAAAACCTTTGACTAGTTTAATCCATCTCAACCTTTTTCTCTTGCCTCAAAACATGACATGTTGCTAGAATATACCCAGGGTATTATATTAAGAAAGTGACTGGGTACCAGTGGCTTATACCTGTAATTCTAGCTACTTGGGAGGCTGAGATCTGATTATTGTAGCTTGAAGCCAACCTGAGCAGGAAATTCCATGAGATTGTTATCTCAAGTTAACCAACAAAAAAGCTGGAAGTGAAACTGTGGCTCAAGTGGCAGAGTGCCAGCCTTGAGCAGAAAAAAAAAAAAAAGCTAAGAGACAGCACCCAGGTTCTTAAGTTCATGCTCCTGCTTAGGCTGTCTTTAAACTGTCATCCTTAGATCTTGGCCTCCTGAGTAGCTAGGATTGTAATAGTGAGCCATTGACATTGGGTTTGTCCTGGAATTTAAATCCATTGTCCACCCACATGTTCCATTATGCATCTATGTTGCAATTCCACATGCAGCAGTGTCTGGGCTGAGAAGTTGTCTCTGATTACCCAGAAGAACAGGCTGGTCCTTTGTGCCCCATTGACTCAACCATACCTACTTTTTCCCTCCCCTCCAGGTGATAGGTTCTTCAGGGGCTGTGAAGGTGGTGGTTGTGGATTCAGTTACAGCAGTGGTGGCCCCTCTTCTAGGAGGTCAGCAGAGGGAAGGTGAGTGATCTGGCACAGCCTGAGGGGCGGGGGGAACCTTACCTCTCAGCCCTGTCCCTGGTCCTCTGCTGCCCTGCCCCTCTGTTCCTCCTACCCCAGGCTTGGCCCTGATGGTGCAGCTGGCCCGAGAGCTGAAGATCCTGGCCCGGGATCTCAACCTGGCTGTGGTGGTAAGAAGGCAGGCTTGGCCTATGGAGTTTATTTCTGATTACAGCTCTTTATTTCCTTTCAGTGGCAGCTCAGAGCCCCAGTGTAGTCCTTTAGGAAAGGGGCATAGCCCAGCTTCCCTGGGTCAGCTGGAGATCTGGACTTTGAGGGAAAGGATTGGATTAGCTAAGGGAATAGCTAAGACAATGTCTGGCTATTAAGACTGGTTTCTTGAGGTATAATATATGTAGACTCTACTTATTTGAAGTTTGATTAATTAAACCAGTTGGATTCAGTCTTGTTACTCTACTGAAAGTTTCCCAGGCTCAGGCAACTACTGATGTATTTCCTGTCCCAATATTTTCCTGTTTCAAGAGTTTCCTACAAGTACTTCTTTATGCTATTAAAGTGACCTTTTCTGCTTATGAAGAAAGCAGAGTTTTGTGTTACTTATTTTTTTGTTGTTGTATATTTATTTTGTCCATCCTGGGGTTTGAACTCAGAGCCTGAGAGTTGTCTTTGAGTCCTTTTGCTCAAGGCTAGTGCTCTACCACTTGAGCCACAACTCTACTACCAGCTTTTTGATGGTTAGACTCCTATGGACTTTCCTGTTCAGCCTAGTTTTGAACTGCAGTCCTCAGATCTCAGCCTCTTGAGTAGCTAGGATTAAAGGCATGAGCCATCAGTTTCTACATCCACAGAAACCATATTAATATTTTATCTCTAAAGTCTTTCCTCTATTAGCATATATACTTATCCTTTAAATCAATTTTCTAACCAAACTAACCTTATTTAAACAAAAGAAACAACAACAAAAAAAAACCCTTACCATTTCCATTTCCCATGTTTTTTTTTTTTTTTTGGGTCCGGTTGTGAGGCCTGAACTCTGGGCCTGGGCGCTGTCCCTCAGTCTTCGGCTCAAGGCTAGCGCTCTACCACTTGAGCTACAGTGCCACTTCCGGCTTTTTTCATTTTGCTTATGTGGTGCTAAGGAATCGAACCCAGGGCCTCAGGCCTGCAAGGCAAGCGCTCTACCACTGAGCCACCTTCCCAGCCCTTCCCATGTTTTTTTTGTTTTTTGTTTTTCACATCCTAGAGCTTGAACTCAGACCCTAGGTGCTATCCCTGAGCCTCTTTTGCTCAAGGCTACACTTGAGCCACAGCTCCACTTCTGGCTTATTGGTGGTTTATTGGAGATAAGTGTCTCATAGATTTTTCTGCCCAGGATGGCTTTGAACCATGATCCTCAGATTTCAGCCTCCTGAGTAGCTAGGCTTACAGGTATGAGCCACTGGTGCCTGGCTTTCCCATGTTCTTTATATAAGTTTTTGTTTATTTGTTTTGTGCTGATACTGGAGTTTCTCAGGGCCTACTGCTCTTGCTTAGCTTTATTCACTCAAGGTAGGCACTCTATCATTTGAACTACAGCTCCAACTCTAGCGTTTTGCTAGTTAATTGGAGATTAATTAAATAGTTAATTGCCCAGTCTGGCTCTAAACTTTGATATTCGGATCTTAGCCTTCTGCTGTGGCTCAAGTGGTAGAGCACTAGCCTTGAGCTGAAGAGCTTAGGGACAGCGCCCAGGCCCAGAGTTCAATCCCCACAACCGACAAAAAAAACCAAAAACCAAAAACCAAAAAAACAGTAGGGTTGGGCATCAATGGCTCATGCCTATAATCCTAGCTACTCAGGAGGTTGAGATCTGAGGATTGTGGGTTTGAAATCAGCCTAGGCAGGAAAGTCTGTGAGACTCTTCTCATTACTAACCACAAAATGCTGGAAGTGGAGCTGTGGCACAAATGGTAGAGTGCTAACCTTGAGCACAAAAGCTCAGGCACCATTGCCCAGAGACAGCTCCACCTTACAGATGGAAAGACAGAGGCCAACAAAGAAACACAAGGAGGGAACAAAGGCAAATCCCTCTGGATGAGAAAAAAAAAGAGGATCAGTAGGAACTGTAAGCCTTTTCTGTAGGTGGCCAACCACTTGACCCGAGACAGGGACACTGGGAGGCTCAAACCTGCCCTTGGACGCTCCTGGAGCTTTGTTCCCAGCACCCGAATTCTCCTGGACATCACCGAAGGGGCCAGAGCATCAGGCAGCTGCCTGCGAACAGCATGTCTGACCAAGTCTCCCCGTCAGGTGAGCCAGCCCCGAGAGGTGCCAGTGATTGCCCTGGAGGGTGGTTTCCATGCCCATGGATGTCTCATTGAATTTTTCCATGGTAAAACCCTGCCACAAGGGCTGGGAAGGTGGCTCAGTGGTAGAGCGCTTGCCTTGCATGCCTGAGGCCCTGGGTTCGATTCCTCAGCACCACATAAGCAAAAGAAAAAAGCCGGAAGTGGCGCTGTGGCTCAAGTGGTAGAGCACTAGCCTTGAGCTGAAGAGCTGAGGGACAGCGCCCAGGCCCAGAGTTCAGGCCCCACGACTGGACCCAAAAAAAAAAAAAAAAACCCTGCCACAAAAGAGCCTACCCACTTGGGTTGCTTAGCTCAACTTACCTTATCTCCTATCTCTTTGTCCAGCCAACAGGATTCCAACAGGTGGTAGACATTGGGACATGGGGGTTCCAAGAGGAAAGCCTGGTGGTTCTGGGAGAGCAGACATGACTGGCACTGTTGATTGGAAAAGAGAGGCACTGAGGCTTCTCCTCTTCCCCCATCTTTTCCTTCCTGGAAAACTGCTGTCCACTGCTTCGTGGCACCTGGGACTGCAGAAGCTCTCAGGCTGACTGAAAAGACTCATTCTGGAAGTACATGGACCCACGGGCCGGGCAGGATGCTGCAGTTGGAAGCACCCAGCTGTGCTCCTTGGTGTCCTCCCTCTGAGTTTCCAGTGGAACTGATTGACCCTGGCCCAGGCATCTCTGAAGGACACTAATGATAAATGAACAGGTCTGAGTGTCACCCTCTGGTCCTGTGTTCAGTCCTAGCACAGTGATTGAGCCAGGAAGCTAAATAGAGAGATTTGCCTTTGTTCCCTCCTTGTGTTTCTTTGTTGGCCTCTGTCTTTCCATCTGTAAGGTGGAGCTGTCTCTGAGTTAGCTTAGCTCTGTTTCTGAGTTACTGGGTAGGAATAATCTCATTAAATGCACACTTAGTCATGGATGTCTTGCTCTTGAAATACACAAAAAAGAACTATCTTAAACCCCAGAACCACTTTCCTACAGGGTTGTTTTTTCATTTCTCCCCAGTGAGGCCCTCAAAGAGTGCTGGTTCTTCCTTTCCTGCTGTGGTTTCATACACCTGCATGCATCACCAGGACTGGGTAAGAATGTGAGCTTGCTGCTGTCCCAGGGATATAATTTAACAGGAAGGAAGACTATGGCCTGTTCCCGGTGAATCTAGCCACTCATTTCATGTGCATGGTGCCCTGTGGGGCCCTGTCACAGTGTAGAGTAACCAGAGGTGCTGAACCATGGTCTTGCCCATAAACAGACAGAGGAGAATTTGCACAGTAAATAGAGCCAGCTGGGAAAATTGATGCTGGTGTAAATAATACATGGCAAATCTAGTCCTTTATGTAGAAATTCATTGCTGGTGGCTCCAAGATGCAGTATAATTACATCTCTCTGCCTGCCAGCTGTACCACAGCCTCGTGCCTGGTGGATGAACACCCCCTCCCCCTGTCTGTTACCAGCACTGTGGCCATTCATCTGAGAGCTGTCACCATGGCTGGGAGGGCAGAATGACGCCAGGGAATAGAATGGAAGGAGAAGTAGAAAAATGATCAGGATTGTTTACTGACCACATTTTTTTAAAGGAAAGTTGCTTGCCTTGATTAGAGAATCTGTTGTGTAATTAGTTGTCTTGGCCACAGGGAAAGGGAGTCAGAATTACACTTAGAAGATAGGACAATGGTGGCTCACACCTGTAATCCTAGCTACTCCGGAGGCTGAGATCTGAGGATCATGGTTCAAAGCTAACAGAGACAGGAAAGTCCATGAGACTCTTATCTCCAATTAATCACCAAAAGACTGGAAGTGAGCTGTGGCTTAAGAGGTAGAATGCCAGCCTTGAGTGAAAAAGTTCCTTAACAGGGTTGGGAATGTGGCTTAGTGGTAGAGTTCTTGCCTAGCATGCATGAAACCTTGGGTTCGATTTGTCAGTACCACATAAACAGAAAAAGTCGGAAGTGGTGCTGTGGCTCAAGAGGTGAGTTCTAGCCTTAAGCCAAAGAAGCTCAGGGACAGTGCCCAGCCCTGAGTTCAAGCCTTAGTACCAGCAGAAGATAGGACATTTACAGGTAATGGATGCAGCAGGGATAGAAGCAAGTGTGGAGGATGAGGAATGAGTGACAAACTAAAGGGTGTCTGAGTGAGGACAGGTTTGGGGAATCTAAAGCCTGACCCTCGCTTCCACAGAAGACCCTGGGGGGGCAGGGTGTGTGTGTGTGTGTGTGTGTGTGTGTGTGTGTGTGTGTCTGTCTGTCTGTCTGTCTCTGTGTGTGTGTGTCTGTGTGTCTGTGTGTGTGTCTATGTCTGTGTGAGAGAGAGGGGAGGGGGAGAAGGGAGATACTCTTGCAGCTTAATGAGAAACAATACATTAATTTGGAAGGGCAAATCCCTGTTATTCCTGAGACTAGCAGCCTGAGATCACAGCAGATACCACCTATCACTCTGCAGAGCTCAGAGTATTTTGTATTTTCAATGCAATTCTGTAGGCAGTTACTAACAGTCAAGTGGAGGCGCAAGCTTTGTTGTTCCTTTTGCCCTGTTACCTGTACATGGTGAGTCCAGGTACTTCATGGCTTACTGAGGCCCAATGTTTTATTATTTTATGTTTTATATTCTATTTGCAGAGCTGGGATAAAAACCACGGCTTTAGGGGCTGGGAAGGTGGCTCAGTGGTAGAGCGCTTGACTTGTATGCTTGAGTACCACATAAGCAAAAAGAAAAAAGCCAGAAGTGGTGGTGTGGCTCAAGTGGTAGAGTGCTAGCCTTGAGCTGAAGAGCTAAGGGACAGCGCCCAGGCCCAGAGTTCAGGCCCCACAACCGGACCCAAAAACAAAACCAAACCAAGGCTTTATACATGCTGAGGCAAACTCTCTACCACCAACCTACATCACCAACCCCTATTTAGTCATTGAAAGAGAAAGAGCCAGGAAATGGTAGCTTATGCCTGTAATTCTAGGTACTGGGGAGGCAGGAATCTGGAGGATCATGATTTGAGGCTAGCCTGGGCAAAAAAAGTTCATGAGACTCCCATCTCAGCCAATAGCTGAGTGTAATGGAAGGCTCTGACATTCCACCTATGTGGGAGGATAGGCAAGATTGTTCCAGGTCAGTTCACAACTCCATCTCAGCAGAAAAGGCTGGGTGGTGTGTACTTGTCATTCAGCTGTGGTGGAAAGCATAAATAGGAGGACTGAGGTCTAGGCTGGCCAGGGCAAAAACGCAAGACCCTATTCCATAAACAACAAAAGCACAAATATCTTGAGGTGTGGCTTACATTGCCAGTGTAGCAAGTGTGAGGGCCCTGGGTTCAAACCCAGTACTGCTGAGGGGAGGGGAGGGTAAGGGAGGGAGGGAGGGAGAATTTGAGTCTTAGGAAAATGGTAACAGTCTCCATGGCAGGATGGGGGACTAGGACTCAGGATTTTATCCCAAAATGGCCTTTAATTTCCTACCCATATAGGTTTTTATAGTGTTGGGATTGAACCCAGGATGTTTGTTGCATGTGCTATGCAAGAGCTCTACCAATGAGCTCTATTTCCAATATTTGGTTATCTGAGACCAGGCTTACTCTGTAGCCTAGGTTGGCCTCCAACCCTTGATCTTCCTGTCACTGCCTCCTGAGTGCTGGAATTCTAGGCCTGCACCATTATACCTACCTAATGGACAATTCTGTTCCTATTGGGATGCTGACTCCATCCCCAACCATATAGCCGGGCTGCTCTTACAATGAGAGGTGCTTCATTCCCTGCTTCTCTGGACCATCATGCCACATTTCCTGCAGGCATCCAGGCCAGCCTGCTATATCCTACCTCAGCAGTAACCATGCAAAAAGAGACCTGAGGCATGACTCAAGTGGTAGAACACCCAAGTTCAACCCCCGGTACTGCCAAAATAATAAAGAGAGCAGTGGTCTAGGTGTCCCTGTGTGTGAATGCCTTAGACACTGGGGGAGGCTCTTCTGTGTGGTTTTCATTGTGATCTTAGAAGGGCCAGGTGGTGTCAGGCATCACTCTTTCTTTATAGACAGTAAAGGGGAGCTCAGCAAGGTTTAGCACAGGAAGCTAATGAGTTGCAGCATGGAACTCCAAACTTGATTCTAACTGATGCCAGATCCACTTTGTTTCCTTCCAACTGCATGCTGCCTTCGGCTGCAAATATGTAAATGTTTTGACAAAATTCTTTTTCATAGTTTGTTTGCCCTGGTAGCAGCCAAGGCTGCACATCCCAACCTCTTTTAAGCTTTGCTCACCATAAAAAGCTGGATCAGAGATTCACTTTATCAGCTCTTTCTGATTCCCTCCAGGGAAAAGAATGACAAACACTGGGAGGAGGCAGATATCATTTGTATTAAAGAGAGACAAGGGTTTAGGGGGGAAAATAAAGCAGAATAAAAACTACAGGTTCTATGCATTCCTGAGCCAAGAGGTGATAAGGGATTTAGATGTGGATCTTACTAGGTTTTTGCTGTGTTCTGGCATGGAGTTGTCTGGGTACAATTAAAACTGCAACTAAGCTGAGCATCGGTGGCTCATGCCTCTGATCTTAGCTACGGAGGCCGAGATCTGAGAATCACAGTTCAAAGCCAGCCTGGGTAGAAAAGTCCATGAGACTTTTATCTCCAATAAACTACTCAGAAAAGGCCAGAAATAGTGCTGTGGCTCAAGCCTTGAGCACAAAGAGGCTCAAGGACAACACCCAGGCCCTGAGTTCAAGCCCTACAACCCCACAACAACTGTGTTGGGGACAGGTATTGGAAGAGGTTCTGTGAGGCATACAGATGAAGTTAGAACAATGTGTGTATTTATATACATATTAAAAATATGTATTTTTTTGCCAGTCCTGGGCCTTGAACTCATAGCCTAAGTGCTGTCCCTGAGCTGCTTTTGTTCAATTCTACTACTAGAGCCACAGTGCCACTTCTTTTTCTATTTATGTGGTACTGAGAAATTGAACCTTTGTGCATGCTAGACAATCACTATACCACAAAGCCACATTCCCAGTTCCTATGGTTTTTTGTTTGTTTTCTTGGTTGTGGGGCTTGAACTCTGGGCCTGGGTGCTATCTCTCAGCTCTTCAGCTCAAGGTTAGTGCTCAACCATTTGAGCCACAGCGTCACTTCTGGTTTTCTGGTAGTTAATTGGAGATAAGAGTCTTACAGCCTTTCCTGCCCAGGCTGGCTTTGAACCGTGATCCTCGGATCCTAGCCTCTTGAGTACCTAGGATAACTGGCATGAGCCACCGGCACCTGGCCCCTGAGATAGAAACTTACTGTATAGCCCGGGCTGGCTTGGGAATCTCCATCTTCTTGCCTCAACCTCGTTAGTGCTGAAATTACCATACTTAGTAGCTGTTCCCTTAGTTCGTGTGTGTGTGTGTGTGTGTGTGTGTGTGTATGTGTGTGTGTGTGTGTGTGTACTGGGCTTGAACTCAGGATCACAGCACTGTCCCTTAGCTTTTTCACTCAAGCCACACTTTTACTTCCAGCTTTGTGGTGATTAATTGGAAATGAGAGTCTCATGGACTTTTCTGCCTGGGCTACTTTTGAACTATAATCATCTAATCTCAGCCTCCTGAGTAGCTAGGCATGAGCCCTTAGCACTCTTCCATCAGGACTTCTCTCACCCTTACAGGGATTACTGGTGTGAGTCACGATGGCCAGCTACCTTTTATCAAGGTAAAGACCTCACAGTGTTTCCATCTGTTGTTGAGGGAGCCTGGGAATTAGCCATGATTTGTGCCATACATAGTTTTCTCTCCCAGACAATGGAAGGTCCACTTATCCTGGGGCTGGACAGCTGTGCACCAGTTGCTACACTGTGACTCCCAGAGCAGCCCTCGATGTATCTCTGTTTTTCCCTGGAACAACTGTGTCTACTTATTTTTGGGGTTGGTCAGAAAAAATGTGCCTTTGCTACAAAGGATCCAGAGTTA